AGATTACTTTCAGATCATTTTTCTTGTTGCTGTTACGTCTCTGTTCTCAATGTTTCTTGTCCTTAGAGGCTCTTTGCCTTTATAAGGGACAGAAAGGAAGCTAGCTAGACCTGATTTCACCATTACTCTTTGGGAACTAGCCAGGAATTTTTTTTTTTCCTTTGAGCCAGAATAAATAAGTGTGACTAAATTAGCAGTTTGATGACTCAAGACATGAAATTGTTTTATCAATAGAGAAGAAACTCTTCCAGTATTACATAAAAAGCTTGATGGTCAGTAGATATTTTTGAATCACCTTAAATATAATCATACATATCTATTTGAAATTTAGCTTTTCCATACTTTCACTTATCTGTGACATAGTAAGTGGTTCTTTGCTTATTTCCTTGAGACTATTCACTAAAACTCTTGTGGTTATTCAAAGGTGAGCTTCTTTCTCCATTAGTTTCAGCCTATTTGTTGCTATTATATATATTGTTAACAAGTTCAATTACCTGGTTTTAAAGCCCTTGCCAAATAAGCTACAAATTAGAAGGGGGATGCATTGGTAGCATCACGCTCCCTAGAGAGCAGTGCCAGCCTAACTACAAGAAAAGATAAACTTCTTAAAAAGTTTGAACTCAAAAGCACAGTTGTCCCTGTGGATATTTAATGTCACGACACAAAACATATATCACTGATGTATATAAACCCTAAATCGTTAAAAAAAAAAAAGTAACTGTTTAGTATTATATTTAAGAAAAGAGGAGGAATGATGATTTTTAGATAAGTCAGAATGGTGCTCCTAAAGGATATGAGTGGCTATATTTGCATGTGCAGGGAACTTAGGCTTCCAAACCAATTTATATACCATGCTTTTCAAGTGTGGGTGAGATTTAGATTCGATATAAGATTTGATTGACTGTATGTAATGACATTACTTGATTTATATACAAAATTCCCAGTGGAAGAGGTTATTCTGAATTTTATTTATAAGTATGATTAACACCAGTTAGAGATCATTAATAGTTTTCTTCTATAGTATAAATACAGTATAAATGGCATAACTTGACACTACAGTTGTTGCTCTGAGGATCTTAATTTTGTTACTTTCTAGGCTACCTGAAGCTATCTTTTTAGAAAATGTTCATTTTCACTGTTATTGTGCACTTTGTGTTGAAAACTCAATTCTAAAAAGCAACAGTACTATGTTTTCTACTCCCTAGAGGTAACTACTTTCAACTCTGTAGATTCTCACTTACCTCCATATCATTAAATAAGTTGCTTTGTTTTGCTGTTTTGGTTCTTCAATTTTAAGCATCTCTGTTGAATTTCTGGCGTGGAAACTGAGGATTTAGTTGTTTTTCACCATCCTTTTACTCCTAGGGACACACAGTACCACCTTCTATTATAGAAGTTCTAATTATAGTTGTTATATTCACTTATAGTTGTAATTCTATTATAATTATTCTATTTATCTGGTATTCTATTTAGTTCTATTAGAATGAAAATTTAGGTTAGATTAGTATTTCGTTTTACCTTATAGCTATTCACAACTAGGCCATGTTTTACTATTACAAATTTTCTTTTCCTGCATAACTTTTTTTAGGACATTTTTTTCATTTGTTTTTGTACTTGTCATTAATTTGTCCCCCCAGTTTTTCTCAATCTGTGCCAACTTCCTTTTAATATGTTCAGACACATTAGGTGTTTTCTTTTTTTTTTTTTTGAGTTGGAGTCTCACTCTGTCACCCAGACTGGAGTGCAGTGGCCGCTCCCGGCCACCGCAGCCTTGACTTGCTGGGCTCCGGCGATCCTTCTGCCTCAGCCTTCCGAGTAGCCAGAATTACAGGCGCGCACTACCACACCCGGTTGATTTTTGATTTATTGTAGAGATGAGCTCTCACCAAGTTGCCCAGGTGGGTCTTGAACCTGTGGGCTCAGGCAATCCACTCACCTCAGCCTCCCAAAGGCACGGGATTACAGGCTGAGCCACCGAGCCCAGCTATTAGGTGTTTTCTTAAGAGACATATTCTGGTTTTTTTTGTTCCAATTTGGACTGGCTTACTTTCCAGGTTTGCTGCACACCTCTTGGGTTGGTGTGTCCTTTCACTGTCATTGTGTGTAGTAATTCCCTTTTTTCTTGGTTTGTCACCTTTAAGTGCCTTCCTGAGGAAGTGTGTGTAGGAGATAAATTATCTTAAGAACCTTGCATGTCTCTTGTCATACTGGATTAACAGGGTGCAGAAATACAGACTGGGAGTATCTTTTCTTCAGAATTGTTGTGGAGGCATTGACCCATTCGTTTTCTATCTTCCAAATGTTAAGAAATACAGTGCTATTCGAATTTTGATTTTTTTTTTAATGTATCCATTCCTTCTCACCCTACACTTCTCAAGTTCTTCTCTTTGTAATGTTTTGAAATTTTCCCAATGATGTGTCTTGAGTGGGTCATCCATTATGCTTGGTACTTTGGACTTTATGTAGGGAAAGTCCGGTTCTTCAGTTATGGAAAATATTCTTGCATTATATGTGGATTTCCCCAACCCTCTTTTTCTTTCTGAAAAATATAATTATCTGGATGGTGGATTTCCTGAATTTATCCCTTAATATTCTTATATTTACTCCTTTATTTTCTATCTTCTTCCTTCTCAGAGATTTCAACTTTTTATTTTCTAATTTTTATTTACTAATTTATCTATTTAAAAGTTTTCTTTTTTTCTGCTATCATGTTTTTAATGTCCAAGAGCTTTTTTTGTTTGAATATTCCTCTGTTTTGACACCTTTTGAATTAAAGACTTTCTCAAATTCTTGATTGTCTGCTCTTCTTTAAGAGTGGGACCCTGAGAAGCCGACTGAAAGGTCTATTGGGGGTAGATGGAGGCTTGTTGATGTGTGTTTTGGTCTACTGTGATCTAGCTGGGCAGTTACCCTAGGAAATCCCAATTTTAGATTTTTTTTTTCTTCTATAGGTAAGACTCCCTGGAGAAAGCTTGAATATTCCCTTACTCAAGGATATAAGCCAGGCTGCCAGCTTTGTAGGAGTGGAGTAGAGAAAGAAGTCTTACAAGATCAACCTTTAGTGCATAAAAAAAGTACCCAGGCTTTTAACTGTGCCTAATGCTTTTCAGTTCACATACCATACATATACTCTCTGAAGTTTTACACCGGCTTGGGGGGGGAGGGGTGATTCCTTGGTGATATAGAGGAAGGAGGGGATGCGGGTGTTTATTTGCTTTTTACATAGTCTTTCACCTACCCTCTTTTTAGCCCCATTTTCACCTCCACATTCAGAGCTACCTGGTGTCACCAATTCAACTTGAGCCTTTGGGATTTCTGTGATGTAAATCAAGAATGCTTTCCTGTTGCTAGACCTGGGTTTCATCTTTATTTCATTTAACTACTTTTCATCTAAAGGCTTTCCATCTTTGTATCTTATATTCTATAGGTTATTGTCTTTTAAAAATTGGTACCCTTTATTATTATTTTAGTAAAATTTCAGAAAGGAACAGAGGCTATTCTCATATATGCTGACTAACGGTTATTCTGCCTAATCTGTATACCTTATTTTTTTAGGCTAAAATGATTTAACTCCATTCACACAGTTCTTTGTCTTATTTTCTTCATGTTCTTTGTTTTCAGCACACAGTGAGACTAGAGAATATGAGATAAATGATCTAAAAACTTGCCTTTTTTTTTTTTGTCAGGCATGATGGCTCATGGCTGTAATCCCAGCAATTTAGGAGGCTGAGGTGGGAGGATCACTTGAGGCCAGGAGGTCGAGGCTGCAGTGAGCTATGATCAAGCCACTGCACTCCAGGCTGGGTGATAGAGTGAGAACCTGTCTCTTAAAAAAACCAGCCAAATACATGCTTTAAGTTACATGAAGCCTAAACTGATTTCATTGCTCAAAACTTCATACACAAGCATTTTAAGAGTTCTGTTCTTGATTTTTGTCCCTAACTTTGCTTCTTTAAAACGGATGGTTGCGTTTTTGGAGTAACATATTTTACACCTGTTTTACCCTGTTACCAGCATCACGATAGGTAGTTTTTCTGGGTGTATGTAGCCCAGTTCTTAGGGCTGGAGAATTTAATGGAAATGATACTTTTTATGCCTTGAGTTCCTAGTTTCGTCTACTGTCAGAATATATATTTCAGTTTTTGTTGAGCCCCCTTTCCTCAGAATTTAGTTTCCCATTTAAGTAGCTTCCTCTATTTTATCTGCATTGTAAATTTTATATTCTCTTTTACATACCCTTTGCTTACACATTAAAAATGAGGCCGGGTGCGGTAGCTCAAGCCTATAATCCCAGCACTTTGGGAGGCCTAGGTTAGAGGAATGCCTGAGCCTACAGGTTGGAGATCAGCCTGGGCAACTCGGTGAGACCTCATCTCTACAGTAAATAAAAAAAAGTCGGGCGTGGTGGCTCGTTCCTGTAGTTCCAGCTACTTGGAAGGCTGAGGCAGAAGGATCGCCTGAGCCTAGCAGGTCGAGGCTGCGGTGGCTGTGAGCATGCCACTGCACTCCAGCCTGGGTGACAGCGGCTCAAAACAAACAACAAAAAAAGTTCATACAACTAAGCTAGGAGGTGGCCTTCCTTCGAAAAGGTTGGGCTGGACTACACCACTGTCCAGCAGCCGGTTCACTGACAAGGCAAAGTTGGTTATTCTGACATTACCTCAAGCTCCAAACCCCAAGCTCCTCCCACACAATGTACGGCCAGTCATTTTGAAGCCTCCTGCTCCTACCACAAAGTTCCTCTAATTCTCAACAGCTGTTGCTGGGATCCCGGCTCTAGTACTGTATTAAGGGTATCGCACTCTACAGCGTTTATTGACTACTGATCCTCACACTCCAGTCAAACGGCCCAGCCCAGCCAGGTGCCGAGGTCACGGGCTGCCGGCTTTCGTGGGTATCGCGGCAGCCTTCAGGCCCAGAGCTGCCAGGGGCAGAGCCCGCACCACCGCCTGGAAGCGCAGCTCCGCCCAGGAGCGCCCGAGCACGGCCCGGCGGAGCTTCACACACCGGGTGCCATTTGACACTTGGGCTCAAGGTCAACTCGCATCGGCGTGGTCCATAGACTTTAAATCTTTTCAGCTAGGGTCTACCCTGACAACTAAGCAGCCCTGGACTGGAGCGGCAACCACTTGCCGCCGGCCTCCGGAGCCGCCAATCTTCAGAGTACCTGGACACGGGAACGCGCTCCGCCCTGCTTTGCGGCAAGGATGCGCGCGTTTGCGACAGCGTGACGCCGGCAAGTTTTGGCGGGAAAAGCGCTGCATTTGGATTCCTGTGGTGGCGGGCACAGGACAACCCGGTGAGAAGGGGCGTCCAGTAGGATGGGAAAGGGTTCTGGAGGGGGAATTCGGGGTGTAGGTTAGTGAGGAGGGGCAGGGTGAGAGAAAGTTGGCAGTGGCGAACGAAGGGGACCGAAGAGACCCCCGCGGAGGGACGGTTTCGCAGGGTGGAAAAGTGTGGCACCAGGAAGTCCCCGTTGTGGGGGGAGGGCAGGAAAGACTACTCATCCGCTGACTGGGAACCCCAGAAGTTTGGACGACGTCCTTCTGGGTCCCAGCCCTTCCTTCCGCTCCTCGGGGCAGTTTGGCCCCGCCCCGGGCTCCTCCCGGCCTTTGGAACGGGTGCGAGTGCGGGAGGGGGTGGGAATTGGAATTGGAACTGCTGGCGACGAGGAGGCGCTGCGCCGGCGTGTTCTGCTGTCTCGTGTATCCCTGTACTCTTCCCCAGACCGTCGCCTCCCCACCCCTTCCTCAGTCGTTCACTAGGAAGCTTTTGTCCCCCAGCTCCTCCCCACACCTATTAAATTTCCTCTGAGGCCCGAGGAAGGCAGAGTTTCTGCCTTCGGTGTGCGTGGGAATGAGGATTGTGAGTTCCACGGCAAAGTGCCTAACTTTAGTATACTTGCTTGTGGTCTAAAGACTTGGGTAAATTTGGATGAGACAGAAGGGGAAACCAAGAACTGTTCTTTGCAGTGGGGAATCTTGGCAGGAGACAGGGCTCAGTGGCTTTACAGCTGATCTGACACACATCCTCCATCTTTTCCGGATTCCTGCCTTTTACAGCCCTGGTGCCTGGTGTAGTCATGGCAGTACCCTTTGTGGAAGACTGGGACTTGGTGCAAACCCTGGGAGAAGGTGCCTATGGAGAGTGAGTTTGAGTCCTTTTGCCTTGCCTTCACGCTTGCTTTAGTTTTCTGAGTATGTATATGTTGTTTTGGAGTTGTTTATTCTAATATAGTGATGTCTTAGAGCAGCGGTCCCCAACCTTCGTAGCATCAGGGACCAGCTTCGGAAGACAGTTTTTCCACGGATGGTGGGGGTTGTGATTGTTTCAAGATGATTGAAGCCATTGCATTTATTGTGCACTTTCTTTTTCTTTCTTTCTTTTTTTTTTTCTTGAGGCAGAGTCTCACTCCGTCGCCCAGGCTGGAGCACGCTCATGGCCACCCCAGCGTTGACCTGCTCGGTCAGGCGATCCTTCCGCCTCAGCCTTCCAAGTAGCTGGAACTATAGACAGCTACCACGCCTAGCTAATTTTTTGATTTATTGCAAAGACAGGGTCTCACCATGTTGCCCAGGCTGGTCTCAAACTGGCAGACCCAGGCAATCCTCTCGCCTCGGCCCCCCAAAGTGCTATTTCTATTATTACTGCATTGTAATATGTAATAATTATACAACTCACCATAATGCAGAATCAGAGGGAGCCCTGGGCTTACTTTTCTGCAACTAGATGGTCCCATCTGGGGTGATGGGACAGGGTCACCCATCAGTTTTGGTTGCTGTCACTGGAGAAAGCCCTGCTTCACAAAAATAGGATGTTGGAAGTGGAAGCAGGCTTTTCAGTGCTGATCTGACAGGAGGAGGAGCTCAGGCAGTAGTGCTGGCCTTTGGGAGCCACTGTAAATACCATGAAGGTTCACTGGCTTCCCCCCCCTCCGCCACCCCCCACTCGCTCACGGTGTACAGCCAGGGTTGAGGACCCCTGCCTTAGAAATACAAGACTTCTGGCAACCGAAGTTACCAAATCTTTTGTAAGGATTAATATTTTTTTCTTCCTTTTTAAAAAAATGCTTTCTTTGTAAATAGTGAAAGGAGACTTGGAAATTCATTGTTTCCCCTTCCACAGATTCCTTCTTGGGGTTTAAGCATGGTGAACAAGCTCTGGAGACTGCATGCCTCTTTTCAAATCCTAACTCTATCACATACCAGTCATTGTTTTGTGATCTTAGGCAGTCTTCCTAATGTGTAACTCTATTTCCTCAACTATAAGAGGTCAGTAACAGTATCTACACCTTAGGTGCTTAGAACAGCTAATTATCACAGGGCATATATGGTATGGAATTATTATGAGGTAATGCTCTTAAAAATATATGAATAGGACATGTATATTTGTGATGTGTCCTAGAATTGTTATTGTCCCAATTTATTCTATCAAGCATTTATTAAATAATTTGGGTGTGTATAGCATAATGATTTCTTTGGAGTGCTAATTATTGTACTTCACATTTCAGAAAGGAGTAATGTCTGTTGAGACATGTTGAGATCATGACAGAAACCATTTACTTGATTTCTCCTTGGTGGAGAAAGTAATAAAATAGTTTTGGATGAGTTGCGTTTAATTTCTAAATTTTAAAAGAAACAGAATTCCAGTGTCTAATGTTATAACTGTTTTTCCTTTTTAGAGTTCAGCTTGCTGTGAATCGAATAACTGAAGAAGCAGTTGCAGTGAAGATTGTAGATATGAAGCGTGCCATAGACTGTCCAGAAAATATTAAGAAAGAGATCTGTATCAATAAAATGCTAAATCATGAGAATGTAGTGAAATTCTATGGTCACAGGAGAGAAGGCAATATTCAATATTTATTCCTGGAGTACTGTAGTGGAGGAGAGCTTTTTGACAGAATAGGTATGGAAAAGATTCAAGATAATTTTTCTGCATAACAAGTTTTTAAAATAATGTGTTTTAGTCTTGGAAGTGCTATTTGATCATTATTCTTTCAGAATTGCTTGAGGAACAGTGAAATTGGAGTCAATTATCTTTTTTCTTTTTTGCAATTTGTATTAATGCATGAAAGTATATATAGAGTCACTGAAAGAAGACGTTTTTTCCCAAGTTATATAAATGATTTTGATTGGGTTTGCTGTTTCAAAGGGTTTAAGAATGATATGCTAAGGCTGGGTGCAGTGCCTCAAGCCTGTAATTCCAGCACTTTGGAAGGCCAAGGTGAGAGGGTTGCCTGAGCCCAGAGGTTCAAGATCAGCCTAGGCAACTTGGTGAGACCTCATCTCTACAATAAATAAAAAAAATTAGCTGGGCATGGTGGTGGATGCCTGTGGTTACAGCTACTTGGAAGGCTGAGGCAGAAGGATCACTACTGAGCCCAGTAGGTCGAGGCTACGGTGATTGTAAGCGTACCACTGAACTCCAGCCTGAGCGACAGAGTAAGACTGTGGGTCAACCTGTAATCCCAGCGCTTTGGAAGGCTGAGGTGAGTGGATTGCCTGAGCCCGCAGGTTTGAGACCTGCCTGGGCCACTTGGCAAGATCTCATCTCTACAATAAATCAAAAATTAGCCGGGCATGGTAGCGCATGCCTGTAGTTCCAGCTACTTGGAAGGCTGAGGTGGAAAGATCACCGGAGCCCAGCAGGTCGAGGCTGTGGTGGCTGGGAGCGGCCACTGCACTCCAGTCTGAGTGACAGAGTGAGACTCCAACTGAAAAAAAAAAAGCATAGATTGGTCTGGTGCAGTGGCTCACACTTACAATCCCAGCACTTTGGGAGGCCGAGGTGAGAGGATTGCCTGAGCCCATGGGTTCTAGACCAACCTGGGTAACTTGGTGAGACTTCATCTCTACAATAATTCAAAAAATTAGCCAGGCAAGGTGGTGCATGCCTGTAGTTCCAGCTACTTAAAAGACTTAGGCAGAAGGATTGCCTGAGCCCAGCAGGTCAAGGCTTAGGTGACCGTGAGTGTGCCACTGCACTCCAGTCTGGGTGACAGAGCGAGACTTAAACTAAAAAAAAAAATTATAAGCTGTAGTCTCATGGTAAAGTATTATAAATGCATTGTATTCTTTGCCTATATGGTTTTCTTTTTGTAGACATTGTAGTTACATGAAATTGTATACATTTACAGATCCAAAATTATAGCAGTTTGTTATATTTCCTCTTTATTTGTTGAAATGAAATAATTTTCTAGGATTGCTGTATGTATATTTAGTAAATTATGTGTTTACTACTTTGGAGTTCTATGTAGATTTAATAGACTGATGTTGCAGAACTCTGAGAAGGATGTAAACTGTATCTTTGCATCTTTATTTAAATCCATTGCATTAACAGTTAACTGATTACAGATACTAGAATCTCTGATACGAATCTCAGGAGAGAGTTGAGGAAAGGAAACCAGACATTAATGAGAGAGATAAAAAGGTAGCTGACAAAGAACATTTCTTAATAAAACTCTCCTGAAGGAACTTTACAGGTGTTCATGACTTTGTAGTGTGAGATTTTATGATGTTTAAATCTGTTAAATATTTAGTGAAATTGGCTTAGATTTGCCCAAACTTCCCCTTTGGCGATTATATTTCAGGAGTGAGAAAAATATAGACGTAGCATTTGGAAGAAATAGGGAGAATTTGAAGGATATCAAATTAATCCGGGTTAGTATAAGAGTAACTAGGGACTTTCAAGGCATAGCTTGCCTTCTTGATTTGGATGATAGTTTGTTTTTTTTGTTTTTTTTTTTGAGTCGGTGTCTCACTCTGTTGCCCATGCTGCAGTACAGTGGCACACTTATGGCTACCTCACTTCTACCTACTGGACTCAGACAATCCTTCTACCTCAGGCTCCCGAGTAGCTGGGACTACAGGCATGTGCCACTACACCTGGCAACTTTTAAAATTTATTGTAGATGAGGTCTCACCAAATTGCCCAGGCTGGGCTTGAACACGTGGGCTCAGGCAATCTTCTCTCCTCCACCTCCCAAAGTGCTGGGATTACAGGCGTGAGCACTGGATCTGGTTTTTCTTTATAATTCTTTATTTGAGTTGGAGTCTCACTCTGTCACCTAGATTGGAGTGCAGTGGTGCTCCCGGCCACTGCAGCCTCAACCTGCTGGGCTCCGGCGATCCTTCCGCCTCAGCCTTCCAAGTAGCCGGAATTACAGGCATGCACTACCACGCTTGGCTGATTTTTTGATTTATTGTAGAGATGAGGTCTTGCTGCCCAGGCGGTCTTGAACCCGCGGACTCAGGCAATCCGCTCACCTCAGCCTCCCAAAGGCGTGGGATTACAGGCTGAGCCACCGAGCCCAGCTTTCTTTATAATTCTTATGTGATGTTACTTTTGCCATTTAACAGATAGGAATATTAGTTAAGTACTGTGTATGTCAATGGACTTCTGAATCTTTTTTTAGCGCTCAGTTCTATTTGCTAAAGTACAATAATGTCTAAGCTTCAAATTAAGAAACTATGTGATTGATGCCTTATATTTATCCAATAAGCTAACTTTCATAATTAATTGTTATAGAGCCAGACATAGGCATGCCTGAACAAGATGCTCAGAGGTTCTTCCATCAACTAATGGCAGGGGTGGTAGGTACAGTTGTCCCTTTCCCTTTTTCTTAAAATTAGTATGAATGAAGTAAATTATTAAATTCTGGTTTCCCTCTGCTTCATCCTTAGGTTTATTTGCATGGTATTGGAATAACTCACAGGGATATTAAACCAGAGAATCTGCTGCTGGATGAAAGAGGTAAGTTCAGCATTTTGTCATTGGTACCTAAATTATTTTGATATAGCCATACAAGCCAGGATGGAGTCTTTTGGAATTTGAAAACAAGAAATCTGAGAAGTCAAGGATATTTGAGAAGATTAGTATTTGAACTTCACAAGCCTCTCATGGTACAATTGTGGATGAAGTAGAGAAGTCTGAAAGTTCTTATTAGAATACCCTGGACCTTAACCTTGTCTTGATCATCCTTTTTCATTTATGACCTGGATAAAGATGTTAAGAAGTTTGATTATATTTTTTGGATATCATAAAACTGAGAGGAATAAATAATGAATGAAAGCTTTAACTTACAGAATTAGGATCAAAAAAGAAGACAGAAATGTCAGCTGTCTGAGGCAGTAGTTTTTATGTATTTTTTGTTTGTTTTGTTTTTTGAGTTGAAGTCTCACTCTGTCGCCTGGGCTGGAGTGTAGTGGTATGTTCATGGCCACTGTAGTCTCGACCTAGTGGGCTCAGGCGATCCTCTGCCTCAGCCTTCCAAGTAGCTGGAAGGCATTTGCTACCACACCTGGCTAATTTTTTAATTTATTATAGAGATGAGGGCTTACCAAGTTCCCCAGGCTGATCTCGAACCCGTGGGCTCAGGCGGTCCTCTCACCTCGGCCTCCCAAAGTGCTGGGGTCAGAGGTGTGAGTCACCATGCCTGGCCTATGTTTTGTTTAATGCTCTATTCCTAGTGTAAGAGAAGTACCTGACAAATAGGTTTTAAAAAATATTTAATGAATGAATGTATTTAGTGGACAAAATCTAACAAATTGTTTTCTTTCTTTCTTTGTATTTTTTTTTTTTGAGTCAGAGTCTCACTTTATTGCCTAGGCTGGAGTGCCATGGCATACTCACAGCCACCCCAGTATCCACCTGCTGGGCTCCGGTGAGCTTTCCACCTCAGCCTTCCAGGTAGCCGGAACTACAGGCACGCACTACCACACCCGGCTAATTTTTTATTTATCGTAGAGATGAAGTCTTGCCTAGTTGCTGGGGATGGTCTTGAACCCACGGGCTCAGGCAATCCACTCACCTCAGCCTCCTTAAGTGCTGGGATTGCAGGCTGAGCCACCAAGCCTGGCCACAAATTGTTTTCTAATAGGGAAATATCTAAAGTCTAGTATCTGGTTGAAGAAACTAACCAAGTACAGTAAAATGGCATGTTTTTGGCAGCAAAGCAGGTTGAAAAATACATTTACCAGGCAGCAAACTTAATATTAGCCAACTATGTGATTTGATCATAGAAAACTAAGGTGATATTATCCAGAATTAGGAAGGTAGCAGTGTAACATTACTCTGGTGAGGTTACACCAAAAATACTGGGTTTTCTGGGTCCACACAATAAAGGCATGTAGAACACTAATGTCCTTTTATAGGAAAGTGAACAGAATGATGAAACTGTGCAAAATAAGGAATCATTAAGGGAACTCAGGGGAAGCTTGCTAATTGTTAAATATAGTTCTTCAAAACGTGGGTGAAAACTATATGAAAGCAATTTGGATTAGTATAAAGATAACTCCTACTAGTAGATCTGTTCAAAAGCAGAATAGTGTGCTTTGGAATTTAATGAGTTTATAACATTAAAATCAAACACTAGATTAATAATTAGCAGGAATATTGTAAAGGGAATAAACATTGCTTCACTTGTTGGACCAAAGTACTTCAAAATCATGTCCAAGCCTGAGGTTTAGTTATTTACCCTGCTGTAAGTTATTTTCGTAAGGCACATACTCAAAAAATTTGGTATATGGGGAAAAAAGGAAATGTGAGATTGTTTGTTGAAGAATCCTGAAAAAGTAGGACAATAATGACTGTTTTTAAAATTTGTGCACAGGCCTAATAGCAGTAATTATTTGTTATACTACTAGCCTTTTATTTTTTTTTTTTTTGGAGTTGGAATCTCACTCTGTTGCCCAGGCTGGAGTGCAATGGCCCAATCACTGCTTGCCCCAACCTTGATCTCCTGAGCTTAGGCGATCCTTCTGCCTCAGCCTCCTGAGTAGCTAGGACTACAGGTGTGTGCCACCATGCCCAGCTAATTTTTTTAGAGGTGAGTCTCCCTGTGTTGCCTAGGCTGTTCTTAAACTCCTGGGCTCAAGTGATTCTGCCGCCTCAGCATCCCAAAGTGCTCATATGGTGTGAGCCATAGCACTTGGCCGCCATTAGCCTTTTTGCTCCACTTATACCTTATTTTGTGTCTTTTTTTAAATAGCAGGTACCTCCATAGTTTTTATGTATACATGTATTATAAGATTTAGCCATTTCTTTAATGATGGACACTTAAGTTATTTGCAAATATGTTTGTGACTTTGTGTGGTTATTTCTGTGGATATTGCCTTAGAAGTGGGAATATCTAGTTTAAAGAGTGAATATTTTAAATTTTTACATCTTTTGCTAGATTATCCTCTGAAGAGTCTGTACAAGTTGATACCTCTGAAAAAGGAGGCCTTTCTTGACTCTGAAGACTAGATTAGATCCCTTTCCTCTATCATCCTGTAGTGCATATATTTTTATAACCTTTATGACAGTTTTCTCTTGTCAGTCTTCTTCACTCATTTATCTACTACCTGCATTGGCTAGTATAGTGTCTGTCACTTGGTTACAGTAGATATTCACTAAGTAGAAGTTAACTTGAAAGTCCTGCTTGCCATTTGCTTGGAAGATGGGAAATTAGGGTGGAAGTTTGCCCTTGTTTGTTTTTTAGTTCAGAGTTTTTCCTCCTTTCCTCAACCTACTCACTGTGTCAGTGTCTTGCGGTTTATTGATCATTAGTTTGGTGTGTCTTCACATATTTTCTTCCTGACAACTGGATTTGTTTGCTGCTGAAAAAGTTGTGCTTAGTATATTACTGATGTCCTCTTCTTTCCCTGCCCATGCTATCTGCCAAAGGGCTTTGTTATGCTTGCAGCTCAAGTTTGGAATGCTCTTTTTCCAGAATGGATTCCAATTTCTTTTTTTAATCTATCTGGTCCAAACTGTTTTGTGTGTTGGTGATGTTTCTCTTAAGTTAATAGAAGAGATGAGGCCTTTTCTGTTTTTAGCATAGATGAAGATGTCTTTTTAAAAAATTTTTTTTTCTTTTTTTAATCTGGTCCAAACTGTTTTGTGTGTTGGTGATATTTCTCTTAATAGAAGAGATGAGGCCTTTTCTATTTTTAGCATAGATGAAGATGTCTTTTTTTTAAAAATTTTTTCTTAAAAATTTTATTTGTTTATATTGGTCATATGGTAGAGAAATTCTGTGACCTTAAGTAACACTAGTAATTTCTAACAAAACTTATTTCCTTTCAGTGTATCTATTTGTAAAAATTTTTGTTGTGTCATCCTTTTTTCTTTTGGTTTAGATAACCTTAAAATATCCGACTTTGGCTTGGCAACAGTGTTTCGACATAATAATCGTGAGCGTTTGTTGAACAAGATGTGTGGTACTTTACCTTATGTTGCTCCAGAACTCCTGAAGAGGAAAGAATTTCATGCAGAACCAGTTGATGTTTGGTCCTGTGGAATAGTACTTACTGCAATGTTGGCTGGAGGTAAGAGCTATTTAATCATGCTAAAACCCCTGTCCTGTGAGAAGTCAGATTTGTTACACCAAAATAAATGAAATAAGCCAGGAAATTTATATTGATATGATCGTATTTTAATAGCTTCTGAATCAGTACTATAACAAAATATAGACTGGGTGGCTTATAAACAGCAGAAATTTATTTTTGACATTTCTGGAGGCTGGAAGTCAGAAATAGGGGTGCTAGCATCGTTGTGTTCTGGTGAGGGCCCTCATCCTGATTTGCATATGGCCATCTTGCTGTGTCAAGAGAGTGGAAGCAAGCTCACTTGTGTCTTTTTATAAGGGCACTAATATCACTTGTGACAGCTCCTGCCTTCATGATCTAATCACTTCTCAAAGGCCATACCTGTACATGTCATCACATTGTGGGTTAAGATTTCAACATAAGACTTTTGGAGTCCACTGCAAGTAGTAATTTATCTATAACTAACTTGGAACTTTTAACCCCAAAGATTTTTTAAAATCAGGTATGTATATGTATAGTTAAATGAAAAAAATCTCAGTATTTATCTCTTACAAGAGTCATGTAAACACTTGAAAACACTAGGGCCTCAAAATTGTTCATCTATCTTTGAAGTGCCTCTAAATTTTCTGAGTTAGGCTGGGCACTATGACTCACACCTGTAATCCCAGCACTCTGAGAAGCCAAACTTGAGCCCAGGAGTTCAAGACCAGCCTGGAGGACAAAGTGAAATCCTGTCTCTACAAAAAAATGGAAAATTAGCTAGGCATGATAGTGCACACCTGTAGTCCATTCCAACTAATAGGGAGGCTGAGGTAGGAGGATTGCTTGGGCCCAGGAGTTCAAGGCTGGCGTGGTGAGCCATGATTGTGCCACTGTACTTCAGCCTGGGTGACAGTGAAACTCTACCTCAAAAAAAAAAAAAAAAATTCTGAGTTGGCATTCTTCGTTTGAAAGCCATATTGAATTAATTTGGAAGAAACTTTTCATGTGTTTGTATTATTGGTTATTTTTCCTTGAAATCTTTATAGTGATATGAACATTCAGAAAACTGGGCCTTATTTATTTTTAGAATTGCCGTGGGACCAGCCAAGTGACAATTGTCAGGAATATTCTGATTGGAAAGAAAAAAAAACATACCTCAACCCTTGGAAAAAAATTGATTCTGCTCCTCTAGGTAACTGAGTTATCTTGATTGAAAGTACTGATTTCTTGAATATGAAGTCTTGTTACAGTATTTCTTACAGTATTTTTCTTTTTGGCTTTTAAATAATCGCATAAATAATCTATGATCCTTGCAGATAAATTAGAAAATAAAAATAAAAATTAAGGAAAAAATAACCCTTTAGTCCCAGAACTCAGACCTAGATTTTTAAAAATATTTTGGGGAGTGTATGTTCAGGGCAACTTGAATCTATGCTCCTAGATGACCTTTTAGTTAAATAAATAAAAATATCGATATGCACTTCTATATTTTTTTGTAAATACAACCATGTTTCGCTTAACAACAAAGATACATTCTAAGAAATGTGTCATTAGGTGATTTTGTCATTTATCGCTATCCTAGAGTGTACTTATGCAAACCTAGATGAAATAAGGCTACTACACATGTAGGCTATATGGTACAGCCTGTTGATACTAGGCTACAAACCTGTCCAGCATGTTACTGTATTGAATATTGTAAGTAATTATAAAACAGTAGTATTTGTGTATCTAAATATATCTCAACATAGAAAAGATATAGTAAAACTATCATATTATAATCTTATGGGACCACTGTCATAATGGGTATATGGGATATGTATGTTATATCTTTGTGTTTTTACATGTTATGTATATGTGTTTTTACACAAAATGAGATCATACTAATGCAATTTCATTACCTGGTTTTTTTTAATGTTCTGTGAACATTTTCCATGACTAATTGTTATGGTCATGGAATAATATATAAAATATAATTCACCGTTTTTAAAGGCTGTGGTAATATTCTGCCATATGGATATTGTTTACTATACTCATCTAACTTTGTTAGATTTAGATTTTTTCCTAAATTTCACTCTTATAGAAAAGATGTGATAAACATTTGTGTGACTTAATCTTTGCATATACCCTTACATTATCTATTTGTTTTAACCCCCAGAAGCATTATTGCAGGATCAAGGATGTATGTAGTTTTTAATTATTATGGCTTATTTTTCCAAATTGCTTTCCAGTAAGTTCGTACCATTTCATCAGTCTCATCAGTTTACATTAAAAACAAACAAAAAACTTTAATCTAGTAGGCCTATAAGTGATAGTTATTATTTTAAATTTAATGCTAATGAAGTTATATATCCTTTATGTGTTTATTAACTTTTTGTCTATTTTGCTCTTTTTAACCAAGAGATGTGTTGTTTTTCTTATCACTTTGAAGGTTTTTTTGTTTTTTTTTTTGAGTCAGGGTCTCACTTTGTCACCCAGGTTAGAGTGCAGTGGCATAATCATGGATCACTGTAGCCTCGACCTCCTGGGCTTAGAGAATCCTCCCACTTCAGTACCCCAAGCTGGGACTGTAGGTGCATGCCACCATGCTCAGCTAATTTTTTAATTTTTTTGTAGAGATGAGATCTTGTTGTGTTGTCTAGGCTGGTCTTGAACTCCTTGGCTCAAGCAGTCCTCCTGCCTTCGCCTCCCAAAGTGCTAAGATAATAGGTGTGAGCCACCACACCCAGCTGAAGTGTTATTTAATAAATATATTAATGTCATTAAACCATTGCATTTATTACAAATACTTTTCACTGCCATTTATTTTCATTTTGTTTATGCTATATTGACATATAGATATACTGTATTTTCTTTTTTGTTCTTTTTTAAAATTACATATTGTCTTTTTCAAATCTATTAGTAGGTTTCTGACTACATTGTCATATTTGGAAAGGTTTTTTCTATCCCTAATGTTATAAAATAAATAAAGTTCCCTGTGTTTTTATGGCTTCATTTTTACATTTAAGTTTGGTTCATTAGAAAACAATTTTGGTATTGGCAGATATATGAATTTTTTCTCAAGATAATTAAGATACCTTAGGATGATGGCTGGTTATGTTACTGTCACTTAAGAGGTTATTGGTGGGATCCGGGCTCGGTGGCTCAGCCTGTAATCCTGCGCCTTTGGGAGGCTGAGGTGAGTGGATTGCCTGAGCCCGTGGGTTCAAGACCCGCCTGGGCAACTTGGCGAGACCTCATCTCTACAATAAATCAAAAAATCAGCCGGGCGTGGTAGCACGCACCTGTAGTTCCAGCTACTTGGAAGGCTGAGGCGGAAGGATCGCTGGAGCCCAGCAGGTCGAGGCAGCGGTGGCTGGGAACAGCCACTGCACTCCAGTCTGGGCGACAGAGTGAGACTCCAACTCAAAAAAAAAAAAAAAGAGGTTATTGGTAAGTAAATGTTCCTTATAAAACCATGTGAATGAGGAGGTCATATGAAAACATATTGCCCAAAGGAAATTCAGCATTGAAAATGGATAAGAGGACTTTTTTGTATCTTTGTTAATGTTGTCACATGAGGAGGAACATTTCCACCTGTCTCTTGTTCTCCTTATTTGCAAATAGTTGAGAATCAGATTCGGGAAGACTATTCTAAGATATAGATAGCAGCAAAGAACAACTGCATGAAATTAAAGCAATAATTTAGTAGCTTTATTCTATTTCTTCCCTCAAAATATTTAGACATAAGTAAGCAAGTAGATAATGTGTTCCCTATCATGAGCCATAGGCTTTTCTAATCTGTGTGATTTTTTTTATAAATGTCTTAATGTTTTATTTTCAGCTCTGCTTCATAAAATCCTAGTTGAGAATCCATCAGTAAGAATTACTATTCCAGACATCAAAAAAGATAGATGGTACAACAAACCCCTCAAGAAAGGTAATATCCTTAAATACAAGTTTTTTTTTTCTTCCATTGAAAGAAAAGTTATTTGCAGATTTAGTATCACAAGTACACAACGTAAGATAGCCATGGTCTCTGTCATTATAGAGATTATAATGTCTAGTAGAAAAAACAAATGTAAGTGATTTTATTAATAATTATAAAGGGAAAAGTCAGAGTAAGCTCAGTGTTTGACCAGCTCTTTAAGGGATAGGAAAGACTTTTCTTCCTGAGGAAATGACATTATATCTAAGATGTAAAGATTATGGAGAGCTAGTTAGGCAAGTGAGTGGCAGATTTGGTTTTGAGCAGAGGAAGCAGCATTTGGAAAATCTTAGATTTAGAAAGTCTGATGTGTATGAGGAACTGGAAAGATCAGTAGGACGTTGACCATGTCTGTCATGTTCATCACTGTATCACTAGTGGTTAGCGCAGTGTATGGTGCATCATAGGCACTCTGTAATTATTTGTTGAGTGAAAGAGTGAACAGAGAAGTAGGAGAAGGAGAGAGATTTGAGACAAGACCAGAGAGGTGTCTGGTGACCAAGTTGTAGAAGAGGACCTCGTAAGCCATGTTAAGGATTTTGAACTTTAACTTAAGGCTGTTGAGGAAACTTTTGAGAGATTTTAAGTAAGAAGTGACATGGTTATATCTTTGGTTTTAAAGTGCTGTCTACTATTTTTTTCCTCCTGTTTTTGATGGATAGAAAGAGGTTAAAAGTGGTGTAGGCTTTTTTGCTAATAGACTGTATTTGAGAAGATAATGGCTTGGAGTAGATTAGTTGCAGTCAGGTTGGAGAAAAGAGATGATTCCAAAGTACTTTAAGAACTAGAATTCATAAGACTTAGACTGGTTAGATGTGGAAAATGAAGGGGAATGAAGAATCAAGGATGACTTCTAGGTTCTAATTTAGTTACTGAGGGGGAGAAGCAGATATTATGGGAAATTTTATTTGTTTTTGGACATGTTAAATTTGAGGAATTAAGTGAAAACTGTTCAGTACTGTTTTAGTGTATGTGTGTGTAAGCGTAACTCAGGAGATATGCTTGAGATGCCAATTTTGGTGTTTTCTACAAATAGATGGTAATTTAAACCATGGTGGTATATGAAATTGAGTGTATGGAATTTTAAGAAATGCCAGTATTTAAGTGGTGTGAAGGCCAGGGAATCAAAGAGGCCGTGAAGTGAGAGGAACATCTGGAGAGTAGAGTAATTGAGGCTAAGAGCAGAAAGTACATAACAGTAGTAAATAGTGCTGAATAAATTAACAACATGAAGCTTAAAATTTGTCCATTGGATTCCATGAGATGGTGGTTACTCATGATCTTGGCAAGAGCAATTTGATGGAGAGTTGGGAGTAATTTCTAGAGCACAGTGATTGTAGTGTAAAAGAGAGGTAAAAAAGCAGAAACAATCAGTATAGACAACTTATTTAAGAAGTTTGATTGTGAATCAGGAGAGGACAATAGCTAGAGATAAATGAGGAACATTTAATTATTTTTAAATTTCCCTCCGAATGTTTCTTTTGCCTTCTTGCTCTAATTGAACTCCATTGTTCACCTGAGGACACTACTTCTTCTGAAGTAGTAGGTATTTTCTTTTCCATGCCCTCATATGCTTGAATCTGGAAGTATGGCAGGTGTCCATCTTTGTTCTTCATGGTCACTTTCTCCTTTCTTCATGTATTTGTGTCCCCTCTAACTTCTGAACTCCAAATTACAGTTTCTGCCATACTATTACTCTCTCCAACATGACTCTTATTGTAATTTTTGTTATGATTTTTGGTAATTTAAATATTCACTTGGCTGATCCACCCAATAGCCTGATCTCACTGTTTCTTGGGCTTCTTTCCTCTAGTGATCTTGTCTTCAAATATTCTGGTATGATCATCAGTATAATTTTTTTCTGACTTCCTCCCTTCATATCCTGATGTTAACAATCCTTTGACTCTAACTAGACTTGCAGTCCATTAATTCTGCTACCTTTTCACGGTCTTTTACCTGCCTCTTCCCTAGGTCCTCAATTTTATCCATACCTCTCTTAAATTCTTAGGTCAGTAATTATCAATAACTGTTTTGTGTTTGTCATCTTTAACTTCCTTGCCCTCTTCCCTCTTCATACTTACTGGGCAAAACCCAACCCAAGTTTAACCCAAGTTTTCTACCTACTCTGTACCTGTACCACTGACTGCAATTGGAGAAAAATATCCAACAGTGTTCACTTTGAATTCAGGATTACGAATCTCAAGTAGGTCCTTATTTTTATTATTACTATTATTATTTTCTAGAGATGGTGTCTCACTACATTGCCCAAGCTGGTCTTGAATTCCTAAGTGCAAGCAGTCTTTCTGACTTGGCCTCCTAGACTGCTGGGATTATAGGCATGGGCCATCATGCCTGGCTGCAAGTGGGCCCTTAATGCTGCCTGGCATTCAGACTACATTTCTTTCCTTCTTTCACTGTGTGATTCTCTTAAATCAAATTTTTATACCTTTTCTCTTCTCTTTAACTTTTTTTGAGTCAGAGTCTCAGTCTGTCACCCAGGCTGGAGTGCAGTAGCATGCTACAGCCACCACAGCCTGAATCTGCTGGGCTCAGGTGATCCTTCTGCTTCAGCCTTCCAAATAGCTGGAACTACAGGCACACACCACCATGCCCAGCTAATTTTTTGATTTATTGTAGAGATGAGGTCTCGCCATGTTGCCCAGGCTGGTCTCAAACCCTTGGACTCAGGTAATCCTCTTGCCTTTGCCTCTCAAAGTGCTGGGATGACTGGTGTGAGCCACAGTGCCCAGCCTCTTTAACGCTTATTATCTTCTTCCTCATTCTCACTCTTAGTTGGTGACAGTGTTTTCTATTTTTTTTTTGAGTTGGAGTCTCACTCTGTCGCCCAGACTGGAGTGCAGTGGCCACTCCCAGCCACTGCAGCCTCGACCTGCTGGGCTCCGGTGATCTGC